TTTCAGTCAACACTGAACCAAATGCATCCACTCATTCATATTCACTTAGCAAAATTTTGTTGACTTCCCATAAGGAAATTTACACTGTGCTAATGTATTTTTATTAGCAAATCACAAAGAAGTCATATTGTGCTATCTTTAAAAATTGATGAAAATCTAGGAACAGCTCTTCCTTGGTAAAAGAGCTCTCATTCTGGGTATAGATGTGACCTAATGCAGGTATTTTAACCATTGAAGGTCAATAGAACCTGTAGGACAGCAATGACCTCCATTCATTCAATTCGTTTCCATTCATTCAACAGATGCTTGAGTGCCCACCCTGTGTTGTAGGTACGTACCAGGTGGATGCTGGCACATTAAGGTGCCTAAAGCGTGATGCTTGCTTTCAAGGGTCTTCTAGTCTTATAAAAGAAAGACCAGTGTACAAGCTAATAAGACCAATATAATAAGTTCTATGAGAGAAATTCAAAAAGGAAATGCTTATGATCCCGTTTCGGAGATAAAATCAATGACATATAACTGTAAAATTTAGTTTCAAAACAAATATGTAAGGATTGATTGATCCAAGTGGTTGACTTACCCAAGTTCTCTGTGACATAGGAGGCTATTCATTTATTTCAACAGGAGTGTGAGCCCCCAAATTATTTACAGAATGAGGGCATTTTTTTCCTCATTACTTGATAGTCATAGTGTGATTTTTGGCTAAAGGATAATATTACCCAACTTGATTTTTTACTTTAATTGTCAGCTCAAACTTTTTTTACCGTTTGAAATATTCAATCTATCCTCAAAGAGCAAAGTTATGCCCCTATTGAAGAAATTCAAAAGAATGTGTATGTCAATTTCTGAAGGGAGTTTCTAAAGAATTTCAAAAATGCTTCAAGCAATGGCAACACCATTAGAATAAATTATTACTTTAAAACAGAGAACATTCATTTGGGTGGACAAGTGCTGGTATAACAGATTCGAAATGAGTGTTCACACTTGATATTCATTACTTGTGCAAACCTGAAAGGAGCACTAACTATGGAAGCACGGCTGGCCCAGCCACTCGCTCCGTAAGACGTCAGAGAAGACTCAGGGAGAGGAGGGGTGGCCCAGGAGGGAGGTCACATTTAAAGGGGATTGATAAGGTTTTGATAGAATCAATAGTCTGAACTTGCTCTTATGGTTTTATTTGGATGAAATGTAAGTAAACTTGGTGATTAGCAAGTTGGAAGCAGAATTTAGAATTTACCCCATTAAATTGGACTGTCCTAATAAAACAGAATATTATAGAATTTTCTTTTCTGGAATTTTCAATAAGAGAATAGCAATTGTTCTTGGACCACTTACCCACAACCCCTTTAGTGGCAACTGTGACCTAGAGACCTCAGGAACATCTACCCTTGCCTCAGATAGGACCTGGAGCAGTGCTTCTCAAACTTGAATGTGCCTGGGAATCTTCTGCTCTGGAGGTCTTATGAGAGTGCAGAATCCTGATTCAGCAGGTCTAGGCAGGGCCTGAACATCTGCATTTCTGACCAGCTCCCAGATGATGCTGAGACTGCTGGACCTTGGACCATAAGCAAAGCTCCAGATTTTTCCATCTCAAATTGTCTGCATCTCTGGGGGATCTTGTTAGAAATGCAGAAGCTCAGGCCCCGGCTGACTTACTGAATCCGAATGCATGCACCCACAGATGCCCAGGTGTGGCCTGCACACTCAGGCTGAGGAGCAGCTCCCTAGCACACCTGTCTTCTCCACGCCTGGGCCACGTCTGCTCTTTCCTATAGCTTCAAGCTCTCTCTCTGCGCCTTACCCTTGGCCTATGAACTTGGTTACATGTCTCCTGTTTTACGTAATAACTGACTTCCCCTCCCCCAGCCAGAGGCTTTCTTGTCCCCGACAGCCCAAGCTTGAGTGTTCTATGCTTACTGCCTCCTCACCACGCATCCCCGTCCTTACTACTTCACATCATGTTGTGTGTGTGTGTATGTGTGTGTGCAGATAGAAATCAATCATAATAATTTTAATTGGAAACAACCAATTAGCATTTAACCTATTCAATGTAACTATTCTCAATTGTTTTGGATCAATTCAAAACTGTGTAAAAGGCATATTAGTAACCTAGATGTTTTAATCTCTGAATGATTAACTTGTGCTGGCAGGATGATACGGAACGTTCCCTCTCATCCTTTTGGAAGAAGAGGCCAGGATTTACTTCAACTTCCCACGTGGCCCCTTCACGCCATTGTTTAACCCACGCAGCGAACCCTCCTCACGCCCAGGGGAAGTCAGACTCCTCGGCGTGGGCAGCAGGGCCTTCCACTCCGCCGGCTCTCTGTTCCCCGCGTCCTTCACAGTACGGCGATGCCAGGCTACTCAAGGTCTCTGGACTACACACACAGTTCCACCCCACTGGGCCCTCCTCCCCCCTGATGCCACATCCTCCTCCTCACCTGGTTGGCTCCACGCATCCCTGAGGGCTCAGCTTAAGCATCTCCTCTTCTAGGAAGTTGTCCCCTATGGCACCAGGGCGTTGCCCTTAAGGCCATCATGCAGCTGTGTTCAGTGCACAATCAGTATTTGTGGAGGGAAAGAAGAAAGACAGAAAAAAAAAAAAAAAA